AATTCTGGGAGTTGAAGTCCACCCATCTTAAAGTGGCCAAGGTTGAGAAACACTGCTTTAGGCTGAGTTTTTCTTTCAGTAACTATCCTCTCTATTTCCCTCCAGATCCAGCTGTGCTTTGACAGAAACTGAATTGCAACGGTGTTTCCTGCTCCCATTTCAGGGAACTGGTTAATTATGGCGCCTCAGGAAAAGCCCAAAGACGTGTAAGTTACAGTGACGTATCTTCTTTGGCATAAGATGCTCTAAAACCGGTCTAGGACATCCTGGGGTGGTGCCCAGAGAACCTTAGGATGCAAGAAGGAGATCATATGGCCTCTGTTTCGGGTTGATTTCCTAGAATTGTGAACCCCGCAAGCTGCTGTTCGATGGAAATAAATTTTAGCAGATCTAAGATGATCTTTGGAGCGGAGGGAGACTGTGCCTCTGAGCATCTGTGGAGTGCTTCTTCCCACAGCTGAACTTTTTGTGCTGAGAGTTGGCAACGTTTCAAAAGTTCAGCAGCTGGTGCCTCTCAGGGACGAGCTGATATTTGCCACGCCACAAGCGTGTCCACGGGTGTGTGTGGCAGCAACACGGCATTTTTTTTCAGGCAAAGCTTGTCACGAGCTAATCGAAATGCCAAAGCCCTGAGTTCAAATGCTGCGCCGCCCCATTTGAAGACTTCACGAATCCCGCAGTTCCATCTCTCTTCCTTGTGTGTTCGTTCTTTGGCTTAATTCTTTCTTTCCCCGGCTCTGGTAAACTGCGAAACTGTGAAAATTTAATTTTCATTTGCATTTTAATCCTGATGCAGCCGACAGCGTCATTTTCATTAAATTGGGTGTTTTCCGCATTCCGTTAAGAAATGAAAACAAGGGTCATAAGAAACAGAACACCTTCCCCACCTCTTGTTTCAAAGCTCGGGGGATTGCTCAGGTTTTGAGTGAGCGAAATGCAGATTTGATAAGTAATGTGGGTTATTTAACAAAAAGATGAATCCTTGCTGGACTACCATTCCCATCATCCCTAATCTTTAACCACGGTGGCTGGGGAGAATGGGGGTCATAAATTAGCAACAGTAATTTGTAAGTGGGCCTGGTGTTGCTTTTTTCCTGTTGCCAATTTTATCTCCCTCCCTGGGTCACTGGACTTCCTTAAAGGAAGTGCGTTGTGTCTAAAGAATGCTGTGTAGTCCCTGGCCTAACTCAGTGCTCATTTGGCTAGTTAGTAAGTCTTTAGAAGAGGCAGGAGATTTGCTTATGTGGGTTCTCTCCTTATTTTATTTTATTTTATTTTATTTTATTTTATTTATTTATTTTTATTTTTTTATTTTATTTTATTTTATTTTATTTATTTTTTTAATTTATTTTATGGAAATAGTGAAATCTTTGGAGGAGGAAGAAAATGGAGCATATGCAGCTGAGTTGAACTGCTTGCAGGATAGGGATTAAAATCTTAAGTTTACGGATTTTTCCAGGGACCAGGGACTTCCTTTCTAGCTCTTTCTACCCTCCCACCAAAAGCCGTGCTACAAAAAGAATTTCACTTCTCAAACTGCATTTCCCGGTTTAGAAATGAGTACAGGCCACATTTTTTTTTCGTTTTTTTTTTCCGCTGGGGTCAAATGAATCAGCAGGGAAACCACGGCTTGGTTGAGGGCATTAAAAAAAAAAAAAATGAATACACAGCATTTGGCCTTACCAGCTAAGTCATGACTAATTTTTTCTATTACTCTAGGCATGATAAGGTGAGTAATTTCCATTTTGGGTTAAGGTTAGGGTTTTTTTAAATGCTCTGACTCCTTCATTAACTTAGTACATTTTCTGTGACTGCTTTTGCTGCTGTTCTTGCTTTCCCTCAAGAATATCCGCCCCCCCCGATGAAATATGGGCTATTTTGGTGAAATATTAAACACGAAGCCACCGTCTCTTTGTGCCCTGATCCCTATACGTCAAAGAGGGAGAAACCCTCTTCGTTCGGACTGCTTAGATTTTTGCTTCTTTTTTAGCAATGAAATTTAGGATCCTCTTCCTCTTTGAGACAGACAGACAGACAGACAGCTTTAAGAATCTGATGGAAGTTAGCAGTAGGAGAGCTTGGAAGAAGCTAGTGGATCACCTTATTCATCTCCTGATCATCCTTTTCCAGATCAACTGGAATCCACAATCCACCAGGAGGCTGTGTTGAAATGGTGGTTGGCTCAGCAACCCCCCCGCCACCCCCAGACTTTGAGGCAGAGAGCAAGGTCCCTTCCTGATCTCTTTTTTTAATTCATTTTTTCCCAGCCTGATGCTCCAAACAGTGTCCTGGGCCTGGAAGAAACGATTACCCATAATCCCCTTGACATTGGGATGTCCTGGGGCATTGTGGGAAATTAAAAGGGCAGCTAGACTCAATCCTTGGAGTGCTATGATGCTGGTCAGAATTTTGCAGTAGCTCAGGGATAAAGAGGGGAGCCATTAGGGGACACGTGGTGGGTGAAGCGGTTCTTCTCCATTCCTCCTGACCCGAATAAAGATAGATAGATAGATAGATAGATAGATAGATAGATAGATAGATAGATAGATAGATAGATAGATAGATAGATAG